CAATCTGTCGGGGCATAGGCGGAGATGACAAAAATACATCGTTTCTCACGCCGGTTTCTTCTCACTTTGGTGGAGCGTTCTAATCTAACAGCAGATAACCGACTGTTAATGGGGATCCAATCGATTAGTGCTGCCTCAGCTCTAGCGCTTAGTGCGACACCAACGCCAGCAAGACCAGACGGAGATGCCACAGGGTCCCCGGATAAGCGCACGTGAAACAAGCTTTTCGAAGCGACAGATGGAGAGCGAATCTGTAGTACTTCACTAGAGTCTTGAATACGGGTCTCGGATAGACAGCAAACATGAACATTAAGACTTTCTAAAGACATAGCCAGCACCATCTGTTGTCCGATCTGCATTATTGTGCGAACGTTGAAGGAAGCCAGCTTGAACGGCGTAGGTGGTTTCAGAAAGACTGCCTCAGTATTCGTAATCGGTGGAAACATTCAATTTCAACCAGACAGTAACTGGAGATCGTTTAGATAGGACAGAATTTCCACCATGGACGAGCTACTGCATAAGTTGGAAAGGAAGGATATACAATTTGGGAATAAAGGGAGTGAAAAAGCGACGTAGTAAATAATAGTAATAATAATAACAACAATAATAATAATAATAATAGTGGTAATAATAATAATAATAGTGTAAATTGTCTTGCTTCTAATATGAGCGAGAATAGTATCGTCAATAGAATTCATCATTTCATTCATTTGTGTGTGGGCTGTGATACTGCCCGGGTGCCCAAACCGAAGCAGGTGGTTTTCTTAGGGGGCCACACCCGGAGCCTTTGACCTAAAGGTCTGACCCACAAGGCAGTGGAGCATCGTGAAGGAGATGCAGTCCCATGGTAGCCGTTGACCAACAATAGGTTCTTCCGCCATTCGTTCCCTCAGGATACTGGATCCCATGTGCACCATTGGTTTGGAATCAGGGTTTTCCAACTCCTCTCGGTGGATTCTCCATATCCACCAACCCGGTTAAAGCGCCGGACATTCACTTTTCGTCCTCTCACTTTCGTAAACAAAACCGGTGCTACGAGAAGGCAGTGAGTAGGACTTCCCTGACAGAGGCTATATATTCGCTGGCCATATGAGAGCATTTTGAGAGGGAGAGTGGACTCTCTTTCCACTCTCGGTCGTACCAGGGCATTCGGGGGCAAGATACGTTATCATGGAACAAAAACTTAGCTCTTTATGCATACATAAACCATAAAGGTAACTTTAAAGCCTTCCTCTTTTCCGCTTACCTTCCGGATTTCAAGTTAGGACTTGACTCGTGATGCAGTTTGGTGATTTCCGTAATGTATATCCGATCCACATCCAACATCATTTCCTAACCTACCCTTCACATGGAAGCTGATTTGTTCTCTCCCACAGTAGACTGTTGCTGATAGTATCCGGTCAACGGACGTTGAATATCTTTAGTAGACAATTGTTTACAAATACTTTTACTCAATTGATGGTCTTTTTGGTAGTTCTCGAAGTTTCAGTTCCGTACAGTAGAACTAATTGTCTTGACGCTCGTATTGAAAATTGTGAATTTGATTTTGGTTGACAGACAGTTGTTTTGAGTTCCATATGTTCTTCGATTGTAGGAATGCGATCCTTACTTCGCCAATCATCGCCTTTATATCTGCATCAGATCCTCCTTGTTCACCAATGGTGCTTCCCAGGTACGAGAATATTTCCACATCTTCTGGAGTTTTTCCACCAAGTATGATTAGGTTGGTGTTCTCCGTGTTGTATTTGAAAATCCTGCTTTTACATTTGTGTATGTTGAGACCTAATGATTCAGAGGCTACTGTTACATTATATGTCTACGTCTGTATTTGTTTGTGTGTATGGGATGGGGGGAGGGCTAGGTCATCTGAGAAGTCCGAATCGTCTGAGGTTTCCATTGTATTCCCAGCTTCCCATCAGATGTCACGGTCTTCATAAACCAGTCAATCACCAGAAGAAAGAGAGAGAATAAGAAGCATTGTCTGACTCCGGTCCTTACTGGAAATGCATCTGTCCTCTATGAAAAACTTTGCAGTGTAGTCCGTCGTATAAGTTCCGGATGATGTTGAAAATCTTCTCAGTTACTCCATAGTGTCGAGAAAGTTTCAATAACGTTCTCCTTTCCACATTAACAAATGCCTTCTCATAGTCGATGAAGTTGATGCATAGTAGCGAATTCTACTCAAATGATTGTTCCACGATGATCCGTAGTGTCGCAATTTGGTCTGTGCACGACCGCTCCCTACGGAATCCAGCCTGTCGATCTCGAAGTTGGGCGTCTACTGCGTCCTTTATCCGGTTAGGCAACACTCTATTGAGAACTTTTCTTGGTACTGAAAACAGTGTGATTCTTCCGTAGTTCTCAAATTTGCACAGATCTCCTTTCTTTGGTATCTTATAGGGTATCCTTCATTCCAATCCGTTGGCACTTTATCTTCCTCCTAAATCTTCGTAAATAGAATGTGAAGCATGTTTACATTTACTTCTATGTCTGACTTTAGTGATTCGGTTGGTATATTGTCAAGTCATACTGCTTTCCCACTCGTTTTGTCTAATGGCGGTCCTGGTTTCTTCGATCGTTGGTGCAGTGAAATCTACAGAGTAGTTTGTGTATGATGCTTCGATGTCCGGTGGATTCAATCAAGCTGGTCTATTCAGTAGTTCCCAGAAGCATTCTACCCATCTTTTCCTCTGTTCTTGAATCCCGGTGATTGTCTTCCCTTCTTTGTCCTTGACGCGTCTCTCTTGCTCTCTATATCTCCCTTCTACTTTCTAGATTGTATCATATAGTTGTTTCATATTCCCTTATCTAGCAGTTTTTCCGCTGTCGTTGCTAGTCCGACCATGTATTTCTGCTTGTCGACTTTAATGCTCTTCTTCACTTGCTTGTTTGTTTCTGTGTACTCTGCTTGCACCTTGACTTTCTCTGCTAGTGTTCGACCGTTGTTAATTGTTGTATTTTTGTTCTTCCATTCTTCAATCTTGTCCAGAGCTACCATAGAGATCCATTCCTTATGATGATGCTTCTCAGGACCCACAACCTCCTGACACGTTGAAGTTAATGCTTCTTTTATTCCTTTCCAGTCGTTCTCCGTCGTAGTTTCTTGTTCTTTCAGTAGATCCTGTTAAGTTTAGAACATGCTGTTGAGAGTTATCTTAACTTCGTTGAGTTTGTCAGTATCTCGAAGGAAGGCTGTATTGAACCTTTGTAGTGCTGTTTGTCCAGTTGTCGTGTTTCTTTAGCTTCAGTTTCATTTTGGCCACAACCAGGTAGATGGTGATCTGAAGCTATGTCAGCTCCTCTCCTGCTTCTCACGTCTTCCATTGTTCCAATTTTGTTGATGCAAATATGATCTATCTGGTTCCCTGTGGTGTGGTCCAGTGAGATCCATGTAGCTTTGTGTGGAAATATTGTGCCGCCTATAACCAATTTGCAAATCTCTCCTCATTTTCATTTCCATTTTCCAGTCCATGTCGTCCGATGATATCTTCATATCCGGTGTTGTCCATTCCGAGTTTGGCGTTCAGATCTGCCATCAGGATTGTGAGGTCCTTTCTTGGGCACTTCGTTATGATAGATTGAAGCCCCTTATAGAACTAATTTTATCGTCGTGGTCGATATCATTTGTGGGTGCATAACATTGGATAACCTTCACTGTAATTAACTTCTTCCTTGTTTTGAATGCGTTGATAATTCTGGATCCAAGAGATTTGCATCCTACAAATGCTTCTCGTGCTTCTCTGGACAGCATTAGAGCAACTTCCTGAGTGTGTGGAGCATTCTCTTCTTCGAGACAAGAGCACAGAAGAATCTCTCCCATAACTAGCCTTGCTGTCCAGCATGGGTCTGATAGGTTTCGCTGATTTCAAGTACTTCCAATTTGTATCTCCTTATTTTCATTGCTATCTTGACTGGTCTTCCCGGTCCCCACATTATTCGGACGTTCCATGTACCTATAAAAATCGTTGCTCTGGTTGTTAGAAGGGGCAACCGCCTCCTGACTTCCGAAAAAACTCGGCTTTCATCATGAGGCGTCATAGTTATTCCTTCAACTCCCAGGGAAGTTTAAATGGTTAGCGTTTTTCTAGCGAGCTGGTTTTTCTATGGGTTAGGTCGCTAACCCCATGCTCAACCCTTTTCCTTCACCCGGGCTTGAGACTGGTAGTAACTCTGGAAGAGCTAGAGGTGTAGTTTTCTATTCACATATCTTTGTGTTAATAGTAATATCGATTTGTATGCATTGGTTGATTGAATCTTTCTATCGATCTTTCATTTATCAGTCTCTTCTGGCACATGCGCATCCCGTGACGAACTCCGCCATACTTACACCGAGTTACAAACGTTCTCATTATCGTTGGTCCAACATCATTACATCTCTCCCGAATAAATTATCCGTATACTCACTCATCCAATTCATACTACTTTATGCACAATATACAATAAACATTTGGTACGATTCATAACGGCATCAATATTTCTCTCACCCATACTTATTCTCACCATTAATCTCACAATCTCGTTTAAAATTCGATAGTGGTCACCTCAACATTAACAATTTTATGTTACCTTACTACCCGACATTCACATGCTATAACTTTAAACGACATACTTCACCTTAGATCTGGTCATCTTTTTGGATGATTAATTTGGATATATATAATTGTAGAATCTGAAGAGGACTTATTGAAAACAATATTCTTCGTTCATGTATTAGTGTTTTAACATGATGGCGATTGAAATCAATAAACTAAACACTTAAATTTACAAAGAGGAGACAACATTTTGCATTCTATAAATCCTATCATATTTCATATAGTTTAGTTTTGTAATGAATTAATCACATATGAAATAATGCAGTCCTAACGAACGAAATGGAACCCGGGTCCAGGGTTTCCTGTTGACCACCTCCAACCACCATCTTATCTTATTATTCAGGATAGCATGGATGTCACCAGGAAATTAGATGTACATACATCATGTTGATGAGTCCCGATAAACAGAAAACCTAGGTAACAATAACATTCCTTCAACTTTTCAGAGTTATTCAAGACCTCTACAAGCAACTAAAATCATATCAAAATTGGTAGGGAACAAAAAACTAAGCACTGTTTATTTCAATTTATATTACAAAAAATTTCAGCATATCAAACAATTCAAAATAAACATGGAAATAGATTAAAAAGTGGGTAGACAGATTAATTGACAAAACGACAATCATATTATTTCCCAATTGTTTACCATTCCATAAATTAATTTTAAAAAAGTAAGTTAAGGCCAAATATACTCTGATAGTATCATAATAACAATCTGGAAAAATATCATTATGTTAAATATAAATACTATAGAAGTAGTAATAACAATTGTAGTCCCGATGAATTAGAAAGACAAGGTTTAATTGGCGAAAGGCTCTCTTTCTGCTAAGTATTGTTATTTGGTTAAGCTACTTCTTTTCACATCCTTATGTATCGTATAATTTCTAAGAAAGAACCATTGTTTTATGGAGAGTTTCTTCACTGGTCGATCGATTACCGTCATCACCATTAATAGTAACATTCGTGGCACCAACGTCAATCACTGAAAGAGATCTATCCATATTCAATGTAACAACTGCTATAGGAGTCTGATGAACAAGGCAAAAAACAAAAGTATAGAACAAACACAAATAAACATAAAACAAAAGTTATTTGGGAGAAAAAAGAAAGAGAACCAAACAGTTCGTTGTCTATGGCAGAGACGATTTGCAGCTGAGGTAGTCGATGTAGCCAAAATTAAAATAGCTATCGACTATCGATTTGAGCTATATATATCTTACTAAATGACAGAAGTTGAACACATGCATCATATAATTCCGTCTTAGTGATCCAGTAGCATTTTTCTAGCTGCGAAACTTTCACTTGATTCTTAGAGGAATTGGGAATGAACAATGCTGAAGAGTCGCATCGTAGAATGGAGTAAGTGTATAGTACTTCTTGATTTCCAATGGTTCTCTAGGTGATGCCGATCTGTAATGAAAGATAACTTCATACTGATTTTTGTCCCCTGAACTAGCTACTTTTAAATCTGAAGCTTTTAATCCATTCTCGGCAATATCAGTACATAGTTTAAATAGCAAAGACATTTTAATGTTATTTAAGAAGTGCCAGAGCATATAAGGATATAAAAAGTGTCAGCAAGAACACGCAAACACATTCCAAGTTTTTGGGATGGAATAATTCGGAAATTGTAAGGTAATTTTAAAAGAGCGTAGTTAGAGTGAACGCTAATAATATTGTCGAAAATGACAACAAAAGCTTCTTAGTTAAAATACTTACTTCAGTGAAGACAGCATGACTAAAAGTTGATCTGTCACTACTAATACTTTCCTTAATTTATCCCTTGTTCACACAGAGTTTTATAGACAAATAAGTAGAGGAGATAGGAGCTTGATCTAAGACTTTTTGTAAACTGATACATTCATGGGCAAGTTTGAAAATCGAATTCTAAACAATCCAGTATAAACATTCAATCCAAACTGTTAGTATATATTCACAATAAAAAAGACAACCACACGAAATAATCAAAGAAAACCGTGACCATAAACTACAAATATGTTAAGACACTTCAATAAGCTGTTCAAAATACACAAGAAAAATAATTTGAGGAAAGGATATCGTTCAGTGTACTATCATGAACAAACTTTCCAAACAGTTCCTATACGCAAATATTAAAAGTTGAATGTAATTAAAATTATAGCAATATAGGGTAAAACGAACATCAACCGGAAAAAAACACAGAGATGTTCTATCCAAATCCTATGCTGATCATGAACTAGTCTTAAAATTCAGAAAATTATTACATCCCTATTTCACAACGTTATCAAACACCATATAGAATTAAGTGGGACTGACAATAAAACATGAGTTTGAAATGATTACTGATTTACGGATCAAGATAACATGAATGAAAGTATTCTAGATATTTCACACATGACATTTTACAAAGAAAAAGGATTTCCTTTCGACCTTGATCATTAATTACTACATTGTTAGTAATAGCGATAACATATTGACATCCGACTCTAAGGACTATAATTATACCCAATATAAAAATTATGTTTAGTGTACCTACCTGATGTAACTGAAAACTAGGTTACTGAACTAATAAACTAAACTATGTTAACCACAATCACAAAAAGTTGATAAATAAACGTTTTTGCAATATTGAATTGTTACCAGTTGAGTAATTCAAAGTGTATATTCCTTTTTCTTTGTGAGTTATCAAATGGATATGCCTAAAAAACCCATGTTAATGCCGAAACTGGGAATCAAGCTTTGTAGATAGTGCACCGAATCTCAACTTGTTGTTCACTAAACTGTTGAGTTCAGATAGAAAACAACTTGTTCGATAGGTGTGATATTGGTTTTAAAGGTTTGTATTTTTCTAATAAGACCTATAATTATAGACAGTATCGCAGAGTCGTCCAGAGTGCACAAACCCCAACGGAGACTGATCGAATGCAATCCTTAATATCAACAATGAGGAAATAAATAATTTCACACTATCAGTTATTCAAAGCCAGGCAAACGTATAACCGTCACTTAAGGTGGGTGCAATGATTATACTATGTAAAAATTATTCTACTAGGAATACCCAGTCACATTTAAGACTGGCAGAATAAATCACCAACAAAATCAAGGAGAAAAAGCTTCACATAACAACTTTCGTTAAAGAATTTGTGCCAACAATATATACCACAACAATGAACGAATTAACAATCAAAAGAAGCTGAAAGACAGAATGTTATTTCTTATTATCCAAACAAAGACAGATGAGAAGCCACAGAATAACCAAAATCTAATTATGTTCATAAAATGATATTCAAGCAAAAAAGATATATTTCTTGAAAAAAAAAAACAGACATCATAATGCGTACATGATCAACATACCCTTCTTGAACGCCATACATGAATAAACCCGAACCAAATCTAAGTATTTTAACAAAAATAAATACAGTAATATACACTTAGGATTAATTATATATTAAAATTGGAAATAGATATAAATATCACTTAGAACTTATTAAATATTATACAATGTAACAGTTGATCAAATGATAATTTCAACAACAGGTGTGGTGTTGTCTACTTATATCCATATAAGTAGTATATGGCGTGGGTCAGACATAGAATGTATTTTGGCAGAAGACCGATGAGGAAAGAACTGAAATGAAGCGCAATCGTTTGGAAAATGCATGAGCAATGGAATTAGAGAAGAAACAGTGAAGATTGAAACAATTGGTTATTAATTTGCAAATTGACTGTTCATTGTTTGGTTATCAGAATTTACCGAGATAGTCTGTAATGTCTGCTTAAATACATTCGATTGTCCCCAACTAGTGTTTTGTTCGCTACACAGGAATATATTTAAAGAAAACTAACCTTTATATTCAAAGTCAAAGTTTAGGTAAATAGTAGTTCGATTATGAGTGTGCTAGTCAAAGTGTTCAGTACTACAGAAAATTCGAAATCTCCTTCCCGGTCACCATCACTTATTCTGAAGTTTACATTATCCAATGAAAGTGTTTTTGTCCGAGTTGGATAGTTGAAATCATGAAACAATTGTTCAATCTCGTGGATTGGTTAACATAAGACTTTACCACCGTTGGATGCCGGTCTGATCAGTGGTCTAGTGCTTAAGCGCCCGCTTGCGAGACTGATGGATCCTGGGTTCGAATCTCGTGGGGCGGTATCGCGAATACGCACTGCTGAGGAGTCCCACATTAGGACGAAAAGGCCTTCCAGTGCATCCAGGTTTTCCATTGTTGTCTAGCTTCGAATGACTAATGATTTCAACTATATATAAATTAAATAAAGACAGAATAAATATTGATGCAGAATAGTATGAATTCATTATACTTCGTGGTTTCTCATCAGCTGCTTACAACCAAATATGTATTAAGGTTTTAGCATTGGGGTAATAAATAGTATGGAACAATGGACGCAATGGACATAAATCGGTAAATGCAGTTGGAGCCACTGAGAAAAGAGGAATTGTCGATTTTAGCTTGTTTGAGTGAGCAGTTAGTTTCTCACACCGTTGTCAGATTAGCTGCTGGATAGGTCGCTTTCAACGCAGAATTAAGTCTGTGATTAATTACCGATTCACATGTACATGCCAAAGCACATACATTAGAAGAACCGAGAGAAGAGTACGTGTTCGCATTTCTGAGCATGTTCCTAAGAAACTGAGACTGCGGGGGACCAGTGCGATAGCTCGGCATTTACTCGACACTGGCATTTCTCATGCCTTCAAAATCATTAGCAGACAAAGAAGTACAACCGCTCTCCGGTTTGCTGAAGCGATCGTGATAAAAAAAACTCAAACCGGATCTATGTACTCAAAAAGAGACAGTGATAAACTTATTGCTACCCTGGTAATCCGTTTTTTTGTTTGATTTTTTGATATCAGTTTTATTTTGGTTAATATTTAGTTTTTATTATATTCCTCTTCCCTTACACAATTCCGCTAACTTGTCTCTTTTAATTATATGAACTCTCTAAATTTTATTCAGTTATTACGTAACCCACCCTAATTGTTTTAATTACATCTAAAATTATCACATATTTGATCTTATCTGTCTTTGAACTCCACTCAACTATTACGCCACCCACCCTTTACGCTTCCTTCATTCTAATAACCTCTGACCTTTCCTTGCACATATATATGTAGTTACCATTGATGACCTTTTGTTATTCCAATCCTTTACATTCAATTATGTCCATTGTTCCATACTATTTATTACCCCAATGCTAAAACCTTAATACATATTTGGTTGTAAGCAGCTGATGAGAAACCACGAAGTATAATGAATTCATACTATTCTGCATCAATATTTATTCTGTCTTTATTTAATTTATATATAGTTGAAATCATTAGTCATTCGAAGCTAGACAACAATGGAAAACCTGGATGCACTGGAAGGCCTTTTCGTCCTAATGTGGGACTCCTCAGCAGTGCGTATTCGCGATACCGCCCCACGAGATTCGAACCCAGGATCCATCAGTCTCGCAAGCGGGCGCTTAAGCACTAGACCACTGATCAGACCGGCATCCAACGGTGGTAAAGTCTTATGTTAACCAATCCACGAGATTGAACAATTGTTTCATGATTTCAACTATCCAACTCGGACAAAAACACTTTCATTGGATAATGTAAACTTCAGAATAAGTGATGGTGACCGGGAAAGAGATGATTTTGTTCAAAAGAACAATGAAAGCTCCACGACCAAATCACCCAGCTCAAATAATAGAACTCCATTCAAAGTAAAACCGAGTACATAAACCCCTTTAAAAAGCTAAAACATTCTTAAAGACAAAACAAGTCTCCTGATATTATTAGGATATAATTTTCAGCAACAGACATTAAATATGAAACCCAATAAATATTACTCTAAACGTAGGGTGCTAACAAAATTTTCAAAAAAAACCAACAACAGATAGCACTATTTCTATAAATTGTCATTGATTTAATCGAATAGAGATACTAGTGTTACTCTTACAAAATACTTGTGACTGGATTATTTCAGTCAAATATGAATTGATAGTCTTTAATAGTTAAAAAAAAACAAATAGAAATTATGATGTAAATATGAAATTCAGTTTGCTTGAATATAAGGTTTCCTAAAAAGATTAACAGTAGGGTTTTAGGTACTTGTTATAAAAAGGCTCAACTGTGTCAGAGATTATGTCTGGTGTAAACAAGCCTCATAGTTTGTTCATTAAGGGTTTATTCTATTTTTTCCTAATAACATTATCAGAGAAAACTTCGAAAAGGAGAAATCAAGTACATAAGCCTACAATTATTATTATTTATCAATCATTATGTTGAATCGAATTTTTAAAAAAGAATAATACACGATAAAACTTACCAAGTAAAATACAAACCCCAAGTAACATGCGAATAATAATCCCATACCTAAATACACAGCCCAATGATGTGGCAGACGTGCTTTAATTACAACACTACCCAAGAATAGATTAATTAACACAACTGATACGGATATTAAATTAGCAACAATTGAAACCGGACTATAAAAAAGGCAGTACAAGAAAGAGGAACAATTACAAAAAGTGAAGTGCAAAAAATAAACAATTGGTTACATTATACAAGAAAACGTAGTAAAACTTGAATGGACAGTAAAAAGATGCATGATTGTGACAATGATAAATCATACTTTGAAAAATAAGTAGTAAATACTAACTAAAAAAATTGATTGGCATGCTTTCATAAAGAAAAATTAATGAGAAACATTTACAAACAACCGATGACTACAATATAACTGCGATAAGTCACTACGTTCGGGGTGAAATGTGACTTGAAACTACAAATGTTAACATTTTCTAAACAAAAACAGGACTCGGAAATTGCACGAAATTTATTTGGTAAGAGCATATCATAGGGGTTGGTTCAAAGTAATCCCGATGAATTTGCAAGCAGTTCTTAGCCAGTCTGAAAATGTATTTGTAAATGGATAGTTTATGGAAGAGAGAACAATAATATGTAAACAGATTTTAAATAATTATTGAATCCATTAAAGTATTCTACAAGTTACTTTGTAAATCTAAAAAAACGATATATATATATATATATATATATATATATATATATATATATATATATTATATCGAGTGTGTCTCTCTGGATGCCCTGTTAATACATATGATGTGATGATTCCTGCCAATCAGAGAGGAGTGAATTCTCGATCAGAACAATGATACACAAAAAACCGTATGAGCAATCTTGAGTACTTATCAGTCCTGCTACCTGCATAGCCCAGCCAGTTAAATCCTGAATAGGATGTATGTGCTACGGCACGTACACTGAGAGAAGAGTACAGGTTCGCATTTCTGAGCATATTCCGAAGAACTTGACGCTGCGAGGGACTAAAGCTTTTAACAGTGCAATAGCTCGGCATCTACTTGACACCGGGCATACCGTCGATATTATGTGCGCGTTTAAAATTATCAATAGACAAAGAACCACTACCACTCTCCGCTTTGCTGAAACCATTGCAATTAAGAAACTGAACCCGGACTTATGCATCCAAAAAGAGACTTTAATAAACTTATCACTACCCTGGTAATCCTTTTGTTTCTGTTTGTTTTGTGTTTTGGTTATTTTATTCACTTACTTATTCTAAGATAATTTTACACCCCCCCCCTCCTATTGCCTAATTCTTAAAATAAATTTTATTCACATTTCCACCATCTGATCCTCTTAAATCATCTTAACTTTCCAAACCCTATTTAATTATTATTACGTAATCTATCTTATCATTAGTCAATTCCATTAATCTCTACAATTATCACACAATTTACGAACTTCACTAAATTATTACACCACCCACCCTGGATTAACCTCCCTCTTTTGACCTCTGACCTGTTTCTAGCATATATATATAGTTATTATTGTAATCACGTTATTTACACTGATTTATGTCAATTGTTTCACACTATCTTCATGTAAAAATTCTATCATAATTTTGGTTTGTAAGCAGCTGACGAGAAACCTCGAAATAATATGAATTCATACTATTCTGCATCAATGTTTGTTCTTGCTTTATTTAAATTCATAAAGGGAACCAATTGCATGAAATACTTAACAATTGTACAATAGGAAATATACATATCATATTAGTCTACAAATAGTTCTCAAAGTTACCATTCATAAATCGCTTCGGGATAATATATATATATATATTATTTGTCATCTAGACCTTGTATAAGGATCTAAATATATTTTTAAGGTTCTCCATATCGTTCTTAGAGTCAGGTATTACGGGTTAAGTTTAGGAGTTCACGGTTAATGTTTCCACTACGAACTGACATTAGCTACAGTGCGAAAATGCTTTTTAGCCCTATAGATGAATAGATTTCCCGTAAACGTTTAAGAGGAGCTACCTTAAATCTGACTAACTCATCCATAAACTCCAAGTAAATCAACAAATTAAAGCAAAGACTAGACAATTTTAGATCACTATTTATTGAAGTATAAAGAGATGAATCATATTAAACTGTCCATAGCTACATGATAGGCAAGCAGATATTCAGTACTGATCAATATCTGTATGTCAAAGAATCTATTGTATCACGTTGTACCGGTAACAATTATAAACACAATTTTTCCTCCTACGCAGGAGTAAACAAGAAACTGTACATTTTAGGTGTTGACAGTGACAAGTAATCATTTTAAACTTTGAACAAAATTTACTCGGTTTGGTAAAATAGATCAGTGAGAGGGGGGGGAAAGACGAAAATATAATTTCATTTGATTCAATATAAATTACCATAATCATTATTATCACCGAATAATGGAACATGAGTTCAATCATTTGGTAAAAAAATTAATAAAACTTAGTGACAAATTATTCAGAATGTAAAATAGTTATGTGTAGTCGCATGCATTGTTCATTCCTACCTTTTTGTAAACATGAGAAAAGGGTAGTTTGTGCTTTGGAAGTAACAAAAAATAAGTGTTTATTCTTTTTAAACGAAAAAAATCAAAAGGCAATTATTGTACAAGAAATAGATTTCATATTCTTAAAGATGTATAGTCGTCCCAATAAATAAACGGACTAAGATTGTGAGGACTTTATTTCACAAAATTTAGATAAAATCAACCACATCTCTTGTAAAACACTGCATTAGTTGTTCGAATGCACTTTTCATATTTCAGTCCCCATTGTTAGAAGCAGCCTTTAAAATCATAAGAGGTCAAATTCTTTATTTGTCTTGTTGTTTCACATTTTATTATCTGTCACTTGCTCTGTGATTCCAGCTTGGCGTCAGCTTTTGCTTAGCTGTTAACGACTTTAGGACTATTTTTAAACATAATTTCTCGACCCTGTGTGCTCTACTAGAATAGTATTCATAGATATTTGTTCCATAATTCGACTAGAAATATGCGACTGGAAAGCATAAGAGACCATATATATTTAATGCTTTCATCAACACGCCTCTCCAAAACTAATCGCCTTGATAGCTCAGTTCATGTATTTACTGGACAGATTATCTATAAACTATCAGAAATGAAGAGCTTAGAAATAACCTGACACCTTATACTCGCTTTTATGATGATTGTATTTTTCAAAAAGGAGATAAATCAAGAATCAAGGAAGACTTACTGCGACCTTATCATCAAACAGAAACCACAACTCAATAGTGGGGTTATCAACAATACTCTAACAGAAGGCTTACTTCAGTGAACGTCATAGGCTGGTCTATTCAGTCGAAAAACGGGAATAGCCCAACCTCTATAACAAACATAATATATTATAAGTTATTCGCTTTTAAGTATAAATTCTCTAGGACGGAATCAGTTGTACTTGTTTAACTGTAGTCTTTAGTTCGGTTTCAAAAGAAAATATAAATTTCTCCTATCTGATTAGTTAAAATTTACAATAAAATGTTCATGATCATCAACCAACTCGAAATGGTGGTATAAATGTTTAAGCGTATAGTTTCAACAGCTTAGCTTAAGATATGGGCCCAGTTACAACCAGATTTCCAGTTTAAACAGCCGGATGGTAAGATCGGCTATTATACACAACGTGGTTTTAAAAGGAAAATGAAAAACGTACACCAGTTTGGTACAGGAGTACTTAATCATCTCTGGACACACTGCTCCAAAGAAGTCTTCCTTCAAAATAATCTACACAACCAAAGGGACTGGATCAAAAGGAAGTCGAATCAAAATCTTATGCAGTACTGAGGCGTTAGTGACCCAATAATTAAAGCCGAAATGCTGCGCGCAAAAACGATAAATTCAACCTCTCATCCTTCCATGACCTTAATTCCCTTCACCTGTCTGTTTCAGTCTTATTTAGTCTCATAATTTTGTACTTTTACAGTTATTATTATCATTTACCAGTCAGTCAGTTACAACGTAGAACTTCGTACGTACGTACATCAGTTCGAGTTGCCATACCACATTAGCACAGAGATGAAGTCGTCAATTCAAATCCCATATTGGTAGAAGTAGTAAGAGTATAAGTATTATGTGAAAGATAAGGGTTTGAAGATGTTATTGAAAGAGTATAATACGGTGAAATAAATTTGGAAAGAGAAAAAGGATACAGACATGAGGAATTTAGAGAATAAGGATTTGGTAGAACAGAAAGAGTGGATACACCTTCGCCATTGCAAACGATTTTCAGCCATGTCATTTAAGGTCTCTAACCATCGGTTGCTATCATCTCGCGAATCCCAACCAGGTAGTCTACACCTACCAACATGGCCCAGTCCACTTGTCAGCGACTTCATGGATTTGTGCCACGTTTTGGTCTGGCCGCCCCTAGCTTTCTTCCAACCTGCTCCTACACCATAAAGCATTGCACGTCGGGGCAGTCAGTGGTTGGGCATACGTAACACATGTCCCAGCCATCTCAACTGATGAAGTTTCACCACTTCATCAATCGATTTGCCATTCTGACCTAGTACCCGTTTCCTAACAACTGCATTACTTACCCGGTGGACTCAGGATATAAGAGCAATGCGTCGAAGACACCTATGATCGAATACTAGTAGCCTACGAATATCCTCTACTCTTATTGGCCACGTTTCACTGCCATAAAGTAGGACGGAACGAACTGCTGCACAGTAAACCCGTCCTTTGGTTGCAAGACGAATATCTCGCCTACGCCATAAATGACGCAAGTTGGCGAAAGCTAGACGAGCCTTCTGCATCTGTGCTGAGATTTCGTCACATACCAGACCACAAGGGCTGATGAGACTCCCAAGATAAGTGAAGTGGTCTACACGCTCAATTACTTCACTCCCTATCATTAGTTCAGGTGTCGCTGCAACCCAATCCTGAAGTAACATTTTGCACTTCGAGGGAGAGAATCGCATCCCGAACATGCCTGCATTGTTGCTTATAGTAGTCAGAAGACTCTGCATTTTGTCAGAGTCTTCACCGAATAAAACTATGTCGTCGGCGTATTCTAAGTCAACAAGTGAATCTCCCGGTAAAAGTTCAACTCTAGGTGATTGAGATGATGAAAGTGATATCTCTAAAAGCATGTCAACGACAAAGTTAAACAAGAATGGGAAGAGTGGACAGCCCTGACGAACGCCACTTGTGGTAATCAGTTCTGATGACAGTTCGCCATAGGCTCTAACTCGACCAGTTGTGCTCGAGTAGAGAGCCTTTATGAGGTTAATGTACTTCTTTGGTACTCCTTTCAGTGACAAACACTGCCATAGAACCTCACGATCAACGGAGTCAAATGCCGCCTTAACGTCAAGAAATACTACAATTATGGGGCGTCTGAATCTGTGTCTATGTTCTAGGACCTGACGTAGAGTGAATATCTGGTCTATGCAACCACGTTCAGGTCGAAAACCAGCCTGATGTCCTCTAGTCTACTCTTCACGAGCTTTGGTTAGGCGCCTAAGTATTATTGAAGCCAATATTTTAGGCACTATATTAATCAAACTGATTCCTCTGTGATTGTCACAAGAGGACTTTTGTCCTTTCTTAGAGACTGGCACAATCAGTGATTGGGACCAGTCAGATGGAATTACGTTCAGTTCCCAGATTCTACCTAAGACCTCAGTCAATCTCACTGCTAGTACTGGACCACCATCCTTAAAAATCTCAGGGGTAAACCTGTCAGGGCCTGCGGCTCTCCCTCGCTTTAGATTTCCTATAGCTTTTTCAACCTCGTAGAGAGTTGGAGGACTTACCTCAATTTGCCATTCAGGACGACTAGAGATCGTGGGTATCTGAAGTGTGGTTGAAGGCCAGTTGAACTGATCCCTAAAGTGTTCTGCCCATCGATCCAATCTCCTGGATTGAATGAATGATATGACCACCTTTGTCTGAGATAGTTTCGCTAATAGTTGGGTTCCTAATGCCGGTTTCTTTAACAAGTCTGAATAGCTGTCTGCTGTTACCTATTGCCGCTGCCCTTTCCATCTCTCTTGCTTTCGCTACCCACCACTGTTCACGATCATTGCGTAGGTTTCTTATTAGCCTTCGCTTAAGCTCACTCCGCTCTTCGTTATGTTCAGAGCATCTATCAGTGTAGTAGATGCTGCCGAGATCCATTGTTTCTCCCTGACCTTATGACTTACCTTACTAGCGGATATCACTGCTGTTTCCACTGCTTTACGGATGTCATTCCGCGCTGCTTCGGGGTGGGCACAACTTGCATGTCTGTCTAACTGTATTTCCAGTGTTCCTGAAATATATTCTTAGCTTGCCTATCATTAAGTAGAACCCTTAGAGGCTTCCCTGAAGTGTCTTTCCTGCGTCCAGTAAGACGCAGACAAATACGCGCTCGCACTAGAGCATGGTCTGAGTCTAAACATGTGCCCCAGAATGAGCGACAGTCTTCTGTCCAGTCCCTCCATCGGTGGCTGATAGCGATGTGATCTAATTGAGTCCAAAGTTGGGACGAATTCGGGGGTCGCCATGTCAAAAGATGTTTTCCTTATGCTTAAAGTTAGTATTTGGAAGAAATAGGCGGTTATCTGAGCATAGCTGCAACAGACGGTTGCCATTATGTGTCCTTTTAGCCATGATACCATAAGATCCACGCAGGTGTCTTTCCCTTTCACTTAGTTTACCTACTTGAGCATTAAAGTCACCAGCCACTACTAATACATCAGAACGTCTAGCTTTTCGGAGAAGGTCAGAAAGTTTCCTGTAAAACTCATCTTTTATATCGTCTGAGCTGCAGTCAGTGGGAGAGTAGGCAGAGAAGACGAAGAGACAACGACGAGTTTCCCTATCTTTCCGGGTCCTTACTGATCCGTTTAGTCGGACAGCGCATATACGACTGTCTACAGGGATCCAGTCTAAAAGAGCTAGTTCTGCCCTAGGACTTAATGCTATACCTACTCCAGAGAGGCCAGGGGAAGCAGCATCAGGGCTTCCAGATACACGAAGCGTGTATCGAGATAGTTCTTTATTTTGATTAGGTGAGGTCAAATGAATGACACTACTCGAATCTTGTATGCGCGTGTCGGAGACGCAGCACACATCGATGGTGTAAAATTCTAGAGTCCTAGCTAAGGAAGCCTGTTGTCTTATTTGGCACAATGTTCGGACATTAAAAGTTCCTATATGTAGTTTAGAGCGTGGTTTCAGGAGACCAGGAATAACGTTCCGTGTACTTGAATCGTTTGCTCTAGCGGTGCGAGGTGATAAAAGGACGTGGGAGAGGTTAGTCGTGGAGATAAGAGAGTTATTAGGAGTAGGAAAGAATTGAAAGTGACCAACTTGGTCTCGTGTGCTGTTAAGGGTATGAGGCCCGACCGTTGCTGCTACCTTGACGTGGTGGTCGGGCTTGCCTATCGTGATGATCCAATCGAGCTATGCTGGCTGGAACAATCGTTCCTCGAGGTCCTACCATGCCAGACAGGTCGGTTGAAGAGCGGTGAGACTAAAAGCAGCAAACCAAAGGTCCGAAGGCGAAGTCGTACTGCTGACTGTACAGAGGTGTG